ATAATAATACAAATATTAATATTAATTGTGTCATAATGAAAACGTTCTTACAAACAATTAACTGTACAGAATTCATTGTGGAAGGTAATGAAAGCAAAAATCCAGGCAGTGTCAAGTAGCACCAGTTAAGAAACGTAACTGAACAATACATGTAAAGAAATATTGCTAGAAATGAAAATAACTGTTGAAAAAGAGTGCAACATTTAACGATGCTTGATAACAAATACTTAACGATAACCATGAATATTAGTAGATGAATTAAATGAATATCAAATTTACAGTTGACAGTGGATCACGTCTAACGTGAATTCAATAACGAAAAAATGATATTAATTGAGAACCGAAGCAGTGTGTCATGTGTTTTTACATAATCAAGGTAATTGGCAGTGATTGTCGTTGCAGCGATCGTTATTGCTTAGGAGCAAGTATTGATTCTTTGGTATCACTATTACGTGTATGGTCACTTTGACCGTAATCAAAACTGTTTTTCCAGCTTATACAGTCGACGAATGCAAGTTATTGAAACAACAGATTCCTATGAAAATGAATTTGCATTAGAAAATTATCGGTGAATCATCGTGAAATTTTGATCAGTATCGACAGAACTTCTAGAACTTTCAAAAGTATCCGTATTCCGTTCTTCTTTTACTTTTAATTACTAATTTAAATTATTACTTTCATTATGTAATTTACATTCTTTAGTTGAAGCTTACAATTAGAGCTACGTTAACTCTAATTTCCATTACAGTACTAAATCATTACGTTAAAATTTATAATTTTCGTACAGCTTTTCAACGAGGCTGCTTCTTCGTTATCCTTCTTCAATCGAAATGTTTCTCGTATGACTATAACAAGGTAGCAGGATTCTTTCGTTTGTGTTTTTCTAGAAATAAATTGATCGACAATTTACTTTCTCACTTCCAAATTTCTCGTAAATGTTCCATTATAGTACACAAGTTTTTTGGTAATATAATAAAACAAAATTGGTTGCGTATGATCAATAATGGTAAT